TGCCATGAGGTAAGGAGATGGGTGTGCAGTCGCAAATGTGCCCCCGGCAGATTGAGTGCGTTTGAACTTTGAGGCCGTCGCCCTGTTGATGCGATTCGACTTGATGAAACTCAGGTCACGCATTAACCGTCTTTTTGCCATATATTTCGGTTCCTTACGAGCGCAACATTGTCTGTTTGTGCGTTGTTTTTTGGTTTGGTTTGTGTGTTTTTGCGCGGTTGGTTCCTCGTTTGGTTTCTGCTGGCCATTGTTTCGCTCATAAGGCTTCTCTCTGTCTCACCTGTCTCACTTCACCAGTATATCCGATGTACATTTGGTTTCGTGACCGATGGCAATTGCCCCAAGGCGCGCAGGTGACAAAAAAAAAGCAGCGATGCTCCGCCTCGTCTGCAGCAGTTGCAAGAGGTGGACTCAATGCCGCATATACTACACCTTCCTTAGGCCATACAAATGGTGAGTTGTGCGCTGCGGTCGCAGAGCCTTGTACTCTTGGCATCTTGCTGCAGTGCTTCAACCGGTTGGTGCTTCTCTTTCTCTTCTGTGTCATAGTTGCATCTGGCCATCTGCGGAGAGCTGATGCTCTCATTCCGATAGAAATCACCCTACTCATTTTGCAATCTTCACATGAGCGAGTGCTGTGGGGGTCGTGTCGGGCTTGCTGCCGTGGCGCCCCTGCTACATTTCTACTTGGGACCTAGCGCGTATCACTGTACTGGCGACTCACTGGCCACTCTGTGTGGTCTGTTACGGGCTCGTGTTTTTCCTGCCCTCTTGCTGGCCTTGCCACATCTCTCACGATCTTCAGTGTGGGCTGCGTGTGCGCCGCGATGATGGTGTGTGCGCATGTGAGATCTGCGCAAGGCCGTCCTCGGCGGCAGCAGGTGATGCCTGTGCGCTGCAATAATTCATGCGCGCTTAGTCTCATTTTTCCACTTCCTGTGGTCTTTTTGCCCACGAGAGATTTGTAAGCCCTCTCGCTTTTTGCCCGGCGACCTTTTATGTTTCACCTGCGCCTTTTGCTCTCTCCGCATGGCCATTCGTGGGGGTTAACGATGCGCAAATGTGCCCCCGGTGCGTAGTTGATGACTTTTAAGCTCGTCGCTTTACTTCTGCGTCTGGCCTAGATGAAGCTCAGGTCACGCACTTTTGCGCTTTTGCTCTGAAACGATCGGTTGCTCTGTGGCGCTGTGATCTCTTTGGTTCGGTGTTTGCGTTGTTTGTTTTCCTTGTTGTTGTGGTTCTATCGTTTCGTTCGTGTGGCATATCCGTGTCTCACCACTGTCTCACTTCTCTCAGTATATCCGATGTACACTTGGTTCCGTGACCGATGGCAATTGCCCCAAGGCGCGCAGGTGACAAACTAGAGGACGGTGCTCATCCAGCCGCGGAGACACCTTTTTGCATCGCTGCGGCGAGCGTGTCTGCACGCGGCGATGCTCAGTGTGTATGGTCACATGAGAGCTCCATCTCATCATCCTACTTTCCTCTCGAACTGCGCCGCGCGAATTCTCACGAAAGTGGTCTGCGCAAGCTGCATTGTTCCAGGCTGCTGCGCGCAAGTTGCTCTCTGCAAGCTGCTGCGCGCAAGTGCTCTGTGCAAGTTGCTCTGTGCAAGTTGCTCTGTGCAAGTTGCTCTGAGCAAGTTGCTCTGCGCAAATGCTCTGCGCCAGTTGCTCCGCGCAAGCGCTTTGCGCATGTGCTCTGTGCAAGTTGCTCTGCGCAAGTGCTCTGAGCAAGTTGCTCTGCGCAAGGGCTCTGCGCCAGTTGCTCCCTGCAAGCGCTTTGCGCATGTGCTCTGTGCAAGTTGGTCTGTGCAAGTTGCTCTGCGCAAGTGCTTTGTGCAATTGCTCTGTGCAAGTTGCTCTGCGCAAGTTGCTCTGCGCAAGTGCTGCCGGAGCTGCGGGGGTGTGCTCCGCGTACTACGTTCTCCAGCCGGAGCTGCGGGGGTGTGCTCCGCGTACTACGTTTGTACTTAAAAGTTGCGATTTTCCAGCCTGAGCTGCGGGAGCACGCTCCGCGCACCACGTCTGTACTTAAAAGTTACGATTTTCCAGCCGGAGCTGCAGGAGCACGCTCCGCGTACTACGTTTGTACTTAAAAGCTGCGATTTTCAAGCCGGAGCTGCCGCGGACCAGGGGGGAATCGAACCCGCGACCACGGGATTGCGAAAGCAGGCGCGCAAGCCACGAGACAACTTCCAAAGGCCGTTTCGCGAGCAAGAATATTGCACGGCGCCACAGCGAGAGCGCTTTGACACGCACAATCTCCGCAGAGGGTCGCGCGCGGCCAGCAGAAATCGTAAAAAGTCCGCAGTTTTTGAACCTCGACCGCGCGAATCTCCGCAGAGGGTCGCGCACGGCCAGCAGAAATCGTAAAAAGTTCTCAGTTTTTGAACCTCGACCACGCGAATCTCCACAGAGGGTCGCGCGCGGCCAGCAGAAATCGTAAAAAGTTCTCAGCTTTTGAACCTCGACCACGCAAATCTCCGCAGAGGGTCGCAATCCCGAGCGACGATCAAACTCCCGCCCCGGCGCCTTAGAAACCTAACTAACTTACATAGCTGCTAACGCCGCAGCTCTAAGCTCTACCTAACCTTGGTCTATGTAACTTGGCTCTATGTAACTTGGCTCTATGTAACTTGGCTCTATGTAACTTGGCTCTATGTAACTTGGCTCTATGTAACTTGGCTCTATGTAACTTGGCTCTATGTAACTTGGCTCTATGTAACTTGGCTCTATGTAACTTGGCTCTATGTAACTTGGCTCTATGTAACTTGGCTCTATGTAACTTGGCTCTATGTAACTTGGCTCTATGTAACTTGGCTCTATGTAACTTGGCTCTATGTAACTTGGCTCTATGTAACTTGGCTCTATGTAACTTGGCTCTATGTAACTTGGCTCTATGTAACTTGTCCAAGGGCTCCGCACGGAAGAACCCTTCGCGATGCTTTCGGGAAAAAAACATAATGTGGCTCTCTGCAGAAGTAGAGTTTTCGTGGCAGGGGCTTTTCGCAGGGTGAAGTGCAGATTTCGGGCAGCATTTTCGCAAGGTGAAGTGCAGATTTCGTGGCAGCGCTTTCGCAAGGTGAAGTGCAGATTTCGTTGCAGCGTTTTCGCAAGTTGAAGTAGAGTTTTCGTGGCAGGGGCAGCATTTTCATAGAAAAAGAGATTGATAAATAAAAAGGAGAGATCGATAGATGGATAGATGGATAAATAAATAGACAAGATAGCAGACAGACAGAAAAAAAGAGAGAGAGAGAGAGATAGATGGATAGATAGATAGAGGTATAGACAGATAGATAGATAGGTATATTTTTTGCGCGGCAGAAAACAAGGACTCCAAGGTCGGCGGCCTGAGGGTCACATGAGACAGTCGTTGTTTCAGGAGCACCACATTCACAAAACACGAATGCACATCCTTTCCAAGGGGCTCATCAAAATGCGCTAGGAGCCTATGGCACATGCTGGCTACACTGATTTGACGATGCAACATGGTACCTATGGCGCATGCTGGCTACACTGATCTGACGATGCAACATGGTAATATTCGCATCGAATTCATCAAGAAATTTCAACGGAATCGTCAAGCCAGTGGAAGCGATTCAATTATTATGTTGGTCCAGGTTTCTGTACGTGAAGATTTGGTAAGCGTGTTCAACACTGGGCACTTGCGTTTGAGAGGGCTTCCCACCAATTTCCTTGCCGTCAATCAAAGGCCCGAAATGCTTCTTTGGCCTCGTGGAGGGCGTAGAGTTGAGGAGTTGAGTGCTTCGAGGTTCCGACAGACAAGCGACGGAGAATGCGAAATCAATCATGCAGACCTGTTGACGGTTCCCTAGCTGGTCATGGTGGCTAACGGCCCTGGGACGGCCAAAAACATGTACACTGGATATGTTAACGGTACTTGTTTGCGCTGGCAGTCGATTCCACATGATGTATGAGCTGGGTGTGGGGACTGTACTGTGTTCGTACGAAGCGGGTCATCTTGAATCTTGACAGGGTGACTCGCTTTTCCTCGGCTTGAAGATTTGTGTCTGTTCGAAGGCTCGCAACGTTCAGTGCCCGACTGACTGCGTCGGAATGCTTCTGAAAAGTGTCTGCGCGCTCGCTTGTTTATTTGTGATAGTCCTTGCGGCGAATCTTTTTGGCGTGGCAGATTTATCCGCAGTTTGACACCCTAGGGGTCTAAAGGATTGGGCGAGGCTTGATTGTAATGCTGCTGCTGTTTCTTTGGGCTTGCGGAGAGCTTTTGGGGGGGTCAGTCGCTTTTGGCTTTTGTGATAGATACTGCCACGTCCAACCGAGACCACCCTCCTCGCGCCAGCGTTGTAGGCGGCCAGCTGGCTTGACTTCCACAGCTGGCCAGGGCTACATCTGACGATGGAGTTCCTGGTGAAGCCTCTGCACTCAGAGCCGTTTGCGCTGATTTGGTGAGGATGTGAGGCTGGCCGAACCAGTTGTCTCACACAAATTGGGGTCCCATGTTTATTCCGTGATGTTCATGGCACATGGACAAAGTCGTTGTTGTGTTTGCAATTGGGGACAGCCTGAAGCATGATGCGTGGGGCTCAGCGGGTGAACAGTGTGGGGCCGAGGCACAAAAACCATTCATTACAAATATTTAGAAGCTGGCACAGCCCTTTGTATTCCTGGCCAAGAGTAATCCCATTGTGCACCGCATCGTGCGCAAACAAGCACACCAGCATAGACCCCACATGGCGTAGACCAGGTCGAGGATTGCACACTGTTCGTTTGCTGTTGCACACGCATCGCTGCCGTTTTACAAGGCCCTTTTTGTCCGAGTGGCTTCAAGGGCGCTGATCGTTTTCTCCTTAGTTTTGCATTGTCGGGCTGGTCTTTGCCAATCTTGTTGCTGTCTGTTATCTATTTGGGCCGCCGTGTTTGGGCTTAAGGGTCCGCTTTAGCGGTCGCCTTGAGCCACGCCTCAGAACGTTTTCGACTTCCCGGCGTGTTGCGTCAACGCGCGCCGGGTGGAGAAAAATGACGCTTGGCTGTGTCAAAGGGTTGAGTGCGTCTTGAGGGCTCCGTAGCTGTAACTCATGCTGTGAGCTTTTCAGTCAGCGGGGTCACTGAGAGGTTCTCACAGTGTCGCTTTGGAAAGGATGCCAACGAGCCAGTGGCATGTCTCAACAGAAGTTGAGCTGCCTGACTCAGGAAGCTATCGTACTGGTTGTGCCTGTTGCTCTGGCCGTCAGCAACTTGGTTCCGCTCTGGCTTAAAGATCAAGACAGACCCGCCCTCCTTTTCACTTGGGTATTCCTTGCAGGCATAGGTGCACACACACGCGCACACGCGCAATCACACCGTATGTGACATACCACCTACTTGTTACATTTGACATTTCCGCTGGCGTGTTGTTTTGCCTTCACATGTCGGCGGCCAGCCACTTCTTGGTTTTTTTGGGCAATTTCTTGGCACCAAGAAGTATAGTGGCCGCGTTGGGGCTGCCCGATCAATGTGTCAATGAAGCAAGCTTAGTCTTCAGGTGCCGTGGAGCTCAAGATACCTTTGTCACAGTTTTTTGGCGGGTTTCAGGAGCAGAGGAAGGATCCGGACCCAGAATTGGGCCCACAAACGTCGAGAAACACCCAAAATGGCGGGCTTGCGCCCAAAGCGCTCTGAAACGCAAGAGGGTGCCATTGTGTTGACAATGAGAAGAACATAGGAAAACTCACTTGTCAGTTGGCTGACCTGGATTTGGTTTTCTTTGTTTTCTTGCCTCCTGACTTGTAGTCAGGCGCTAAAGGATGTGCTGATTGTGCAGCAGTCGCCGCAGATCGTGCGTGACCGTTGTGGGCGGGAGGCAAGGGAGGTGGGGATGAAGGACGTTCAGGAATTTCTTCACTGAAGGTGACGAAGAGAAGGATACAAGAATGAGGAATGTTTAGAATACGCGGCTGGTCCCAAACGCCTGTCCTGCGCGTTCAGAGGGATGTCGAGCTTACGCAGCTGCTGTCCATCCAGGTAAGGATTTTGGTCCCAGGTTGGGCAAGGGTGTTGGGGCAGCGATCCTTTGGAGTGCAGGCGCAGCCTTTGCGACGATTCGAAGCATCAAACGCAATCTTCGCAATATATTGTTCATGTTTGCCTTTCTTCTGTTTTTCTTTCTGCTCGTCTGGCTTTCGTCTCCCTTCCTTCCTTCCTTTCTTGCTTTCTTTCTTGCTTTCTTTCTATTGTTCAGTCTACCTGCTTACCCATCTATCCATCCATCCATTCGTCCATGCATCTACTCTTTCAATCTGGCTATCTAGCTGTCTTTCTATCTACCTGTCGATCCTTCAATGTATCTTGTTTTCTATCTACTTGAATATCTATCTACCTTCCCCTGTAATGCCTCGCTTTTTGCGCCTTATCTTATTTGTCGTAAAATCAAAGGCAGTTTTAGAAGGAACTTCTGTGGTACTGAAGGCAATTGATAGCTGTGCGCAAGCGTTGGATGAAGGAATGATGAATGCACGCGTGCAAACAAAATTGTGTTTGCGTGTGGTTGGTGGAAAGTGCGAAAAAAAAGAGCGACCCGGGGGTTTTGACTCCTCGGGGTGGCCAGAAGCCACCTCGTTGTGACAGGTGCAGCACTTTCGCAAGGTGGCAGTTGCAGTTTCGTGCGCAGAAATCCTGGCTGGCGCAGGAGTTGGGCAAGGCCAGTAGTCGCCCGATCAAGTTCGGCTCGCCTTGAGCGGCGTTCGCAGCATGTTTGGCATGACGCTGGGTCTCACTTCGGCCAGACCTTGCAAAATCTGATGGACTCCATGGACTAACCACGGTGATTTTAGTCCAACATGTTTTTCCCGAAAGCATCGCGATGCATAGAGTCACTTGCGCAGTGTCAAAACACATAGAGCCAAGCGCATAGAGCCAAGTGCATAGAGCCAAGTGCATAGAGCCAAGTACAGAGCCGAGCGAGCTATGGAAGTTAAGTTTAGGTTTCTAGGGCGCGGGCAGGACTTTGATCGTCGATCGGGATTGCGACCCTCCGCGGGGATCGGCGAGGTCGAGGTGCAAAAACTCGAGGTTTTTTGCGATTCTTGCGGTGCCAGCACGACTCTCTGCGGGGATCGGCGTTGTTGAGGTGCAAAAACTCGAGGTTGTTTTACGTTTTTGCGGTGCGCGGATGAACCCTCTGCTTAGTCTGGGCGAACCCTCTGCGGAGATCGTGCGTGTCGAAGCGCTCTCGCTGTGGCGCTGTGCGATTTTATTACTCGCGAAATGGCCTTTGGAAGTTGTCTCGTGGTTTGCGCGCCTGCTTTCGCAATCGCGCGGTCGCGGGTTCGATTCCCCCCTGGTCCGCGGCAGCTCCGGCTCAAGCAAAGAAGCCGTAGTATGTGGAGTGTACTCCTGGCGGTTCCGACCGGAAAATCGCAACCCTGAAGCGCAGACGTATAGTCCGCGGAGCGCCTCCACAGCTCAGCTCAGGCTGAGCATCTTGCGCACAGACACAAGCGCCGAGCGTTTTGCGGAGAGGAAACTTGCACAGAGCAACGTGCACAGAACAGCTTGAAGACAGATGTCGAGCCACTTGCGTGCAGCAGCTTGCGGAGAGCAACTTGCGCGCAGCAGCCTGAGCCTGGAACAATGCAGCTTGCGCAGACACTGCCGTGAAATTTCTTCTCGTCGGACGATGAGATGGAGCTCTCGTGTGACCATACACACTGAGCATCGCCGCGCGCAGACACGCTCGCCGCATCGATGTAAAAAGGTGTCTCCACGGCTGGAAGAGCGCTTGGGGAAAAATGCATTCGGGCCAATCGTCCTCTAGTTTTGCGCGTCGCGTGTCACGCAGAAGCAAAAGGGGCCCCGAAAGCTGTGAACTGTATGTCCTTCCATGGTCTTCCCTTTTTTGTTTCGAGCGCCGTGCTTTTTTTGCACTCTTCCAGGGCCTGCGCGCCGCGGTGTTTTCCTTGTATTCGCGCGTAATAAGGCAAGCCTCGGCTTCAAGCACGGCTCCCTGGGTGAGGACACCAAGGGTCCAGGCAAGGAGAAGCCAGACCCTTCGGGCAAGGCCAAGAAGACCGCCAACGCGACCAACGGCGGCCATGGGCACCAGGCACACGGCGCAAACGGCGCGCTTGCCCTCGCGCGCCAGCAGGACGCAAATGGCAGCCAATATCTGCCAGCTAACCGCAGCAACATAACAGAGGGGGAATTTCCGGTGGTGGAGGAGTTGACCGTCGCTTTGCCCCTGTTCCTGGTCAACGTGACGAATGCCACTGGGTTGATCGCGGCAAGAAACAACGCGCCGGATCCGAATATCACCTACCGTGCTGGGAACTTCGAGAACGACATGTCTTTCTTGGAAGACAAGTGCCCGGGACTGAATAAGTAATGTTGCAACCTGCCGAGCTCTGCCCAACAATCGGGTTTCATTGGCATTGGCCCATCCAAACCAAACGCGAGACCGCCCGGATTTTATCATTATTTATCGCTGCCTGATTGGGAGTTAGAGCATGTTGATCTTCTTGGCTGTTTCCCTTTTATAAGACACTGCCAAGTCCGAAGAACATGATCAACTCCATCAGGGCCATTTGCTTTTGCTTTCGGCCGACTACCTTCGGTTGCCTCTCGGGTTGGGATGATGAAGCGGAGACACGAGTGCCCTGCAAAGCGTCGGAAGATCACTCAGGATGGCCGGCTTCTACGGCGTTTTGGAGAGTGCCATGGGGGAGGATTTCCACCGCTACTGTCCATACAACAATCCGCTAAACACGCAGAGATGCTTGATGATCGCCATGTGCCTCATTCAGGCTCGGGCGGCGTTCAACCTTGAAAGTGGGAGGCTTCAAAGCGTGGCGCCTTTGCTTTCGTCGATGCGTGTCAGGCGCAGGTGCCCGAGGTTATCGGAATGCAGACATACACCATGCTGGTTGAACAGATCGAGCGGTTCGAAGATACTCTTTGGCCTGTACTTCGCGAGGAGCGGGATGGGGCTGGGGAGTTTTCGCGCGAGGTGATGTCTGGTTGATGAGGCTGCCCTGGATAATTTTTCTTGATGGGGAAGATGCCAGCCCCCACAAGCCGGTTTGGAGGGTCATTTAGGCCCAGCAAGTATCTTCAAATTTCAACTACTTGTTGTTGCTAGGGAGGCGGATTTCCCGCTCGTGCCTTGTGTGAAGTGCCGCCTGAGGAGGCTCGTGCTAACAGTCGCTGAAAAAGGGCTCTGTGTCATGTGTCACAGGCTCAGTTCCCAATCCCTGCGCTCGTGTGCTGCTTCTGCTTCCAAGAAGGAGTGAGCACGTTATGATGCTCAGTCCGTGTTTGCAGTTTCCTGGCGTCAACACTTGGAGCGTGCTCCCCTGGTATGAGCCTACTCCCAGTCAAGTAAAATGGGCGCAGCACCTTTCCCATGAAATTAGCGTCGGAGTCCAGCGTCTTACTATATGGAAGGAGCCAGGCCTCTCAGGGAGGGTCTGAGATATTTCCTTTCTAAAAAAAAGGATCTGGCGAGTTCAGTCTCGGAGCTTTACGTTCTGCCGTGGCAGGTATTGGAGAGTGAGGACAAGCAGATTGAGTTGGGCGAGGACGAGCCTCTGCCAGAAAAGTACAATTGTGACCGTATCCATCGTCCTGAGACAGATCTCGTGCAGATTTCATCGGATTCCCAGGCAGGCGGGGAGTTGGGCAGCGAGCTTTTGAGCTGCCTGGACGGACGAGTGATCCATCGACATTTTTCTGCAGATTCAATCTTCACTTCTTTTTTCCCGGGCGTTGTGTTTTGAAAGGCATTTTTATCGTCGTGAGTATTTTGAGCCAGTTTGCGCATTCAAGCAGTGGTTTGATGTTTGTGCGGGCATTTTGCCCTTTTTGTTGCGGGTATTCGATTCACGGCGTTTTTGCTCCGTTTTGCGGGCACTTTGTGTTTTGGCAGCCGTTTGCAGGTATCTGCAGCGTTTTGGGCAATTGCAATTGCGGGCATTTGTGTGCGTTTGCGGGCAAACCTGGAACAACTACCCAAAATATCATTTTCTGGTTTTGAGTTTTGTTTCTGTGTGGATTTTTAGCTAGAATTCTGTGTTTTTTTTTGGGAGAGGGGCTAAGACTGCCGCATGAAGATTGTTGCAGAGTTGTTTTCATAATGTTACTGTTAAATTGGACATTTCTTCATTGAAGCCTTTCCGGGTGTTGAGCTGTAGCGAGCGTTCCGGCTGTGACCTTGAACGACCACGCATCACTGCGGGGCGCCCCCAGAAATGGACAATCTGTCACAGTGCATCCAAACACAGATCAAGCAGGGTGCTCTTGAAGTATGCTTACACGTGGCTCTCCGTATCGTTTTCGGCGATTGAGTCATCTTTTCCAACGCATTGGTCCCTTGCCACTCTTTCCTCACAGGGCGACCGAGCCTGATAGAGGCCCCGAGCTCGAATGATGTGCAACCCCAAAAGCATTCCTAAAGACATCCCCAATCACATGACTAGAGACAGACACCCGAACAAAAAGCAAGCCACAAAACGCAGTCCTCAACACATGTGTCCACAAAGAGACTCCCACAAACAAAGCATTTTCAAAGACATGTCCAACAGCATAGATAGTTTTTCAAACATCTCCGAAGACATGCCCCAACGACGTCCCCATCGACATCCAGAAAGACATCCCCAAATACATCACCCAAAACAACCGCAAAGACAACCGCAAAGACAACACCAAAAACATCTTCCAGGACATCCCCCCCAGACACCTTGCAAAGACATCCGCACAGACGTCCACCAAAGACATCAACCAAGACAACCGCAAAGGCCGTTTGTGGACATCCCCGAGACACCTTCCAAAGACGCCCCAGAAACAGACCCAAAGACATCTCCAAAGACACAAACAAAGACCCAAAGACATTCCCCAAAGACGGCCGCAAAGACAGCACCAAAAGACATCCGCAAAAGCTTTTTTCCAAGACACCTGCCAAAGACATCACAGACATCCACCAAAGACATCACCCGAGACAACAGCAAAGACATCCCCAAAGACAGTCATGATATCCCCCCCCCAAAGACCCAAAGACATCAAGACAACCTCCCGAAAGACACCCCCAAAGACACCCCAAAGACGTCCCTCGAAGACACTTCCCAAGAGACTTTTCAATGACATTCCCAGGGTCGAATCTGCGTGCCAAGCTCCCAAGGGCTGCGCGTGCCACGAAGCTTGAAATGAGCTTGCCGCGAATTCAAACTCAGACACAGTACGTATTGCGCCTGTCACGAATTCCAAATTTGACACTTTTCTGACGCGTATCCAATAGTAGCATGGGACTGCGGCACCAGATTGCCCGCGACCGGTTTTGACAAACTATAAGCTCACCCAAAACGAGCCGATTGCACGACAGGGCCAACGAACATGACACGCAAACGCTTGGACGCACATTCCAAGCAAGACACCTCAAAACGACCTCTCCTGAAATGCAAATCCGAAGGACATGGCAACGCAGGCGCGCACCCCCTCAACGCTGCGCCTGCGGCGAAAACAGCGCCTTTGCATCCATTCAAAGCGCACTTTTTTCGGGAATCCAACTGGGAGACGTGCCGCGACACTTGCGAACGCTTGGCGAATCGCGAACGCTTGCCAACGCTTCGCGAAAGCTTCGCGAACGTAAACACATAGATTCTGGTGACTTCCCAACACCCAGGCCCCCAACATCTAAACGGGAGCCCTTCTGTCACGGATGGTGCAGCGCCCACCCATCTCCTGTTTTCTCGAGAAACCCGCGGCTCTGCCAGATGCGTGCGGGCTCCGCTGCGATGTCAGCTGCGCTGATGTCAGCTGCAGATGCCAGCCATCAGCTTCTGGATGCTCACAAGTTGAACAGTTCCATGGATGTGACCATTCAGAAGCTCCATCAAGTGTGGCGTCCTGTGTGCAGCCTGGCACGCATTGGTCTCCAAACCCTTCAGCTAGCAAAGCGCCGGCAATCGCGCTGCGAAGTTAAACCCTTTAAATGCGCATGGGGACATGAGCTTTGAGTCCTTACCAAGCCACTTTTCCATCTCTGCGCCCGTGTCTATTCAGGTGGCTGTTATGTGTGGACACCGAAAGCTTGGCGAGATGGTGTTGAGGGATTCGCTTGTGATCGGTACGGGTATTTGTTCGGCGTTTGCGCACATCCAGGCATGATGTGAAAGGTGGGAAGCTGACTGCAATCAGGGTTACCTTCCATGTATGAACAAGGTGAACAAGTAAGCCAGACCGTCAGTTTTCTGGTGCCCAGAGTCATTCGCCTAGTCACGAAAGCATTAGCGATCCTGGGGTGTGGTGCTTTTTAGCCTTGCCGTCTTCCCTTGCGCCTTCTTGGCCTTGTTCCGCACCGCCTTGTCTTAGGGCGTTTCTGCCACAAGTTTGACTGGCACGGTACTTGCAGAGGCAACATGTGGTTTCGTAGTGATGCGGTCGCCTGGCGCACGTTGCCCGCTGCCCGCTGCGTGTGCCGCCATCACCCGGCTCCGCCCAGCCTAGTCAATTTGCGCTCTTCCATCCGCGTTGTGATTCCTCCGTCGTAGAAGTAGTCCAGGCGCCGAACGCTGGGAAGGATTGACACGAGTGATGCTGCTGTGTTGCCGGCCAGCTCGTGAACTCCCAACCCTGGCCCGATGCCAATGACAGCATTTGGTACCCGTCGACAAGCGCGGAGCGACGAGCGCGGCGACGTGCTTCACCTGACGCTGCAACATGCTCTCCCTGATATGACGTTTAGCAGCCGCCCCCGCCCTTCAATATGCTCTCGTTTCCGCCCCGCTCAAGTTTTGGGCGCAGTTCGCAGCTGGGTCAATCGCGCATTTCAGGGGGGCGATTTACAGCAGCCCGTATTCTCTGGGTAGGTGACATGAGCCCTGCTTGTGGTTCTCTTGCGAGGTTCTGTGCTGGATTGCGACCCAAGCAACTACTGGGACATTTTCCTGCGCCACCACCACCACACGGCGATGCTGCAGGAACACAGCCGAGATCCAAGGGCAGTTCGCTCAGACATCCGCACTCGGCTGAAGCTGCAGAACAAGGTGCAAAGGCGGGATGTGGGTCAAGATGATGGAGAGACGATATACTATGTTTTAGGTTCCGCTGTCGAGTTCATTCAAGATTAATTTAGGTTTGTTTGTCGCTCCTCATTGCGCAGACGAAGGCAACCACGCACACACATGCTTGGCTAGCGTACAAATAGTCCGGGCAGGAAAGTTGCTACCGCTGATCACACAAACTCGTCAGCCGGAATGTTTACTCTTTGTATGCCCCCGGATGGTTCGGGGAAGCGCTGTGCAGCTTGTTTACACAGAATCTTTGTAGACAATCGCGAGGCATCAGGTCTACTCGGAATCTTTGTATGTTGGTTCGTTGCCGAGACATCAGGCAAGAACCCGGCAGAACAGGGCAGTTTGCACGACATAGGTTCATGCTCGCATGTTTGTTGCCCTGTACCCCCTCCCTCAGAGTGGTGCCAATGACAGGTTCACTACTTTGCACTCTTTTTGCAGCGGTTCTCTCGGGTTTCCTCTGCTTGTATGTTAGTTGCCGTGTATCTGCCCCCTGCTTCAAGCGTCATGCGCGGCACATGCTGCTGCTGCTCCAAGTGAAGATACGCCAAGCAACTGGCATTTATGCAACAGGGTATTGTTTCCTGCCAAATTGGTCCGGTGGCTTTCCCGCAGGTTCATCTCAAAGCACCACGCAGACGTCAGCTTTGTGCAGAGCTTTGCTCGATTTGGGCAAGAGCAGAGTGGGTCGGTGGACATCTTCCACACCTACAACGAGCGCAACAGGAGACTTGCGAAGATTTAAGCAAGGAGCCGAGCGACGTACGGAAGCACACAACAATGGCATGGCAGCGCATGTATGAAATGTATGTATGCCTGTAATGCAATGAAATGCAATGAAATGTAGCATTGATTATTGCAATGTGCTGTAATGCAACGTAATGTAATGTAACGTAACGTGGCGTAGCGCAAAGCAATGTAATGTAATGTATGGTGATGCAATGTAACGTGTTTATGTAGTGTAACGTAATGCATACATACATGCATACACAACATAACACAACATAGCAGAACATACCATACCATTACACACACACATACATACATACATGCATGCATGCATGCATGCATGCATGCATACATACTTGCAGTACAATACATGACACTACATACACAAATACATCACATACATACGTACGTACGTACTTACGTACGTACATACATACACACATACACAACATTACGTTTCGTGACGCTATATATGAAATGGTTGTATGTATGTACGTATGTATGTATTTACGTATGTGCGTATGTATTGTATTGATCCAATGACATGCAATGCCGTGCAAGGAAAGGCAATGTAATGCAACGTGATGCGTTCTATATCTGCAAGTATGTGTGTAAAGTAATGCGCTCAAATGCAATGTAGTGTAATGTTGTCAATGTACGTAAATGTAATGTGAGGTACGGTCAGGCAAGGCATTATATGCAAGTATGTATGCATGCATGCATGCATGTATGTATGAATGAATGAATGAATGAATGAATGAATGAATGAATGAATGAATGAAATGTAGTTGTGTATGTATGTAAGTATGTATGTAAGGTAATGTAAGTAATGTATGTATGTACTGTACTGTACTGCACTGTACTGTACGGTAACGTAATGTAATGTGATGTGATGTATGTATGTAATGTAATGTACTGTAATGTAAAGTTCTATAATGTAATGTAATGTATGTATGTAATGTAATATAATGTAATGCAATGTAATGTATTGCAATGCAATGCATTGCAGTGCAATAAATGCAATGTATGTAATATGCAATGTAATGTATGTAATGTATGTAGTCTATGCAGGGTATGTTATGTATGTATGTATGGACATGCGCTGTATTATAATGTAATGTGTTATAAACATGTAATGTAATATAGTGTGATGTAATGCAATGTATGTAGGTATGTATGTATGTATGTATGCATGTATGTATGTATGTATGTATGTATGTAACGCTATGACATTTTATGCAATGTAA